GAATGTCTTGTTGATTATTTGAACTTTCTTTCTTCAATATGTTTTAGAGATTTCAATGTCGCACCTATGGCTTGCTTGGTACATCCGAGTTTGATCTTGACGTGGAACCTGATTCTGCACGTCAACATCATGAGGAGTTCAACTTTAGTGAGGTTTTTGTGCACCAAATGATACACTCGATCGAGTTTGTTCTGGGTGCTGTCTCGAACATGGCATCGTATCTTCGACTTTGGGCTTTGAGGTAGGAACTACGATTTCTGAGTTTTAATGTGTTGCACCATCTCATAAATAAATGTTTGGTTAATTTCTGCTTCTAATACGTTACAGCTTGGCGCACTCTGAATTATCAACTGTTTTCTACGAGAAAGTCCTACTACTTGCATGGGGGTGAGTTATTTACTGTTCTACATGGTGCATGTTACTCTTGTGCATATTTCTACATTGTCTATCTCTTCAAGTTCTCTTTCCTAGGTTATGGTTTTTGAGTGTGAATTGAATAACTTCATCGGGTAGCACAAAGTAGATTCTCGATATGCTAATACGTGCCATGTTTTCACGTGCTCAATGTGCTTAATCATTCACTACTCTCTTGGTCCTTGTAACTGTTCTATGTGTAGATGATAATGACTCGATGAACAATGATTATTACAGGTACGACAGCTTCATCATTCGATTAATTGGGCTCGCGGTGTTTGCTTTCGCAACTGCTTTCATACTTCTCATGATGGAGACCCTCAGTGCTTTCCTTCACGCCCTGCGTCTTCACTGGGTGGAATTTCAAAACAAATTCTACCACGGTGATGGGTACAAGTTCAAACCTTTCTCATTTGCTTTGTTAACAGACGACAACGATTACTTAAACTAAACCATAACCCTTGCATATGATTTTTCGGATATTAAGTATGCCAGTGAAGAAGAGATGAATAGAAGCCACACGAAAATGGGTATATCGGTCGACTGGCTAGGGTTTGCTCTTCTCCCAGCTTTTTTGTGCTTTACAAATTATACAATAGGAAATCGAATAAAAGATTTTGCAAATATTCAGTCTGAGCACATTAAGAGTAGAAGAAATTGGTTGGTGGAGGAGGGAGTTATTCTTATGTATCCGGATTGAAGCGAGTGTCGGATACGAGTATACCGCTTGTTTTTAAATTCGGAAAATAGCGGTGCTGCGGATTTCGATCATTTTTCTTCGAATGGAGAGAATGGGTTGGGAGTAAAGGGTAGATATATAGAATTTTAATCACACTGACAAAATAGTAGGGGATTTTGCAGGAATGTAATGCATGGTACTGTAATATGATACATAAACATTCTTTTTCTTATTATATACAGAACTCCACGACTAGTTCCATCTAAGCTTTCTAGTATCATTGTTTTGGCCAAGTTATCTTCATTTTTGTGTGTGGATAAACTACCTATTTGATCACATTTCTGTTTCCATATTTTAACCTTAACATTTTGTTTCTGTTTTGATCACATGTTAGAAAATAAATGGTAATATTGCTATGGTATTTATTTGATTTTTCAAAATCAACATTGTTTTTTAAAGACGAGTGATCAAAACAGAAAAAAAATGTAATGTTAGAATTTTAAAAATGTAGTAGTGACCAAAACAGAAACGTTGGAATAGGCAGATGAGTAAATGGGTAGTTTACCTAATTTTTTAACAACTCGCGTGCTCCTTGCACAAACAAATCATAGAGCTTGAATTGGCGACTTGCATAAACACTCTTGCTCCGTTTTGTCACGTTCGAGAAACACCACTTCCTGCTATTCGCTAGGAAATCAACGAGCAATGCAAGAAACTGGTCAAGGCTATAATGCTACTGCGTGTTATGGGTTCAGCCATATCGTTGAGCATCATAACTGATTTCATGTTAAAACTTATGATCTAGATTCCGTTTGATCAGATCATAAACTTATTAAAATAAATGAAGGGTAAAGCACACCAAATGATCGCTCGACTATATAACGTTGTTTTGTTCAGTCTCTCGACTATTAAATGTTATAAAATGGTCCCTCGATTATAGGATGTTGCTTTTTGAGTCCCTCAACAATTAAAAGTTACAAAATGGTCATCCGACTATTCATTATGTTCTAAACTCATCCTTTTCTGCTACAATATCAACGGTTATCTGAGCTGGATGTTAATATGTTGTCTGAGATATGATAGTCGTTTGAGATTCTGGGATCAAATTTAATCATATCTCGAACAACAAATTAACGTTCAACTCAGACTGTCGTCAATTTTTAACGAAAAAAAGATGAATTTGGAACATAATGAATAGTTGGGTGACCATTTTGTAACTTTCAATAGTTGGAAGACTCAACAAAGCAACATTCTATAATCGAGGGACCGTTTTATAACTTTTAATAGTCGAAGGATTTAACAAAGAAACACTATATAGTCAGGGGATTATTTTTATACTTTACCCATAAATAAATTCAGAGAAAAATGACATAGTTTTATTAAAGTTATTATATCATATTATATATTATATATATATATATATATATATATATATATATATATATATATATTAGAGGTCAAAATATTCATATAATTTTTTTGTAATTTTTTGTTAATATGATATAATGTATGTTATGTCAATAATTAAACACATGAAAATATAACATCAATAATAAGAAGTGTTGACCGTTAATCAACTAATCATATTTATAAAAAAACTATTTTGATAAAAATGAAAGATTAAAAGTTAAAAGATATTTAAAAAAAAAACAAAAATAACTATTCAAATAAATATTAATGATAGATTCAACCAAATAAAATTATGGAATCTATTGGATCTAAGGATAGGTATAGTTTAGGGGGCAATTGGCAAATAAACCCTATATATATATTAAAATAGTGAGAACCTAGAAACATTTTAACCAGCCTACATGTTTGGGGCGCAGCCCATTCTAATCCAACGTCCCATAATATTCAATGACAACTGATCTCATCTTGTCTACCGTCCGATCCTTTTGGAAATGAACGGTGATGAAAGTCTACTCGTCACCCTTTCACTGCTTGTGCCCCCAAATTTCCTAAGCATAGTTCTCTAATTTCTCGTATTCTGTTAATCCGAAGGACGAATTATCAATCGTCAGAGGTATCGTTCTTTTTTCTGGATTTTTTAATTTGGTCCTGTAATCAAATTTATTGGATGTTTTCTGATTTTTTTAACTTGCTGTAGTTTGATTTGAACGCTTTGGGTTTTAATTTCTAGGGTTTGCTAGATTTGGGCATCTTTGATTTTAGGAGCAAGTTGAGGTTCTGGGTTAAATTTCCTTTTTTAAGCTTCCCAATCAGAGGGATTTTGGTTTAAGTTTTAGGTTAAGAATTCATTCATTTTATGGAATTTGAGTGCCAGGAAAGCATCGAGGCTTTAAAGAATTTAGCAAACTGTTGTGAAACAAATCGTTTTAGTTCCAATTCCGTAACCAAGGATTTAGAACTTTCGAAACTGACATTGGGTTGTAATCCTAAGAAAGGGAGTCCGAGTTATTGTAATTCAAAAAGTTACTCCTAATGTTTGTTCGAATTTCTCGCGCACGATCACCGATCTCCCACCAGCCTTGATAACGGAGATTTTGAATTGTCTTGACCCTAAGGAGCTTGGTGTAGTGTCTTGTGTGTCGACCGCTCTCCATAATATTGCATCTGAGCATCAGGTTTGGAAGGAATTTTATTGTGAGAGGTGGGGTTTACCGACCGCAGCTCTGTTTTCAGATGAGAAGTCATGGAAGGAATTGTTTGTGGAGAGGGAGCATAGGTGCAAGACTTTTTTAGGAAGGTATAGCATTGATGTTCTACGCTGTCATACTGAAGTTCGAACCGTGTTTTTATTGGCTTCTGCCAAGCTCATTTTTACGGCCGGATATGACTCAATTGTTCGTATGTGGGATATGGAAGAGGGTGGGTTGTCAATCTCGTCGTCCCGGCCACTTGGTTGTACTATTAGGGCAGTTGCAGCGGATACGAAACTATTGGTTGCTGGGGGTACTAATGGATTTATCCATTGTTGGAAGGCAGTTGAGGGTCTTGAGCATTTGTTTGACCTAACGGGTGTTGAGAAACCGAACGCCGAACTTCGGCTTTGGGAACACGAGGGGCCTATAACTTCTCTTGCTTTGGACCTTACTAGGATATATAGTGGTTCTTGGGATATGACGGTTCGTGTTTGGAACCGGTCATCACTTAAGTGCACACAGATATTGAGGCATGGTGACTGGGTTTGGAGCCTTGTTCCTCACGACACGACTGTTGCGAGCACGTCTGGTTCGGATGTGTATGTTTGGGAGACTAACAGTGGGACTCTGTTAAGTGTCATTCGCAATGCTCATGTTGGTTATGCATATGCCTTAGCACAGAGCCGCACTGGAGACTTCCTTTTTTCCGGAGGAGAAGATGGGGCAGTACATATGTTCGAGATCATAATTGAGTCTAAGGGACATACCGTCGTGCAGGTTGCAACATGGATTCCTCACTTTGGAGCCGTTTATGCCCTCGCATTTGAGTTTCCTTGGCTTGTTTCAGCTTCCAGTGATGGGAAACTCGCTTTAATCGATGTTCGAAAGTTGTTGAGGGCCAGTAGGCAGCCATTAAGGAAAAGTGTTCCAAAGGTTAAAGAATCTGACCAAAATACTATAGAACCACCCCAGAGAATGCTGCATGGATTCGGGTGCAATCTGTACTCGGTCGATATCGGAGCAGATCGAATCGTCTGCGGAGGTGAGGAAGGTGTTGTTCGTGTTTGGAACTTCTCGCAAGCTCTAGAAATCGAGCAGAGGGCCCGAGCTCTAAGAGGGATACGTTTGGAGAATAGAATGAGGCGGCGCAGACTTCAGATCGAGATGAATGGTAAGGGTAGACAAAGCGATCGATGCTCGGTTGCTGCCTAGAAGAATCCGGTGAACGGTCATAACAAAAGCAGCATTAACTCGAAGGTGAAGACATAACATCTGGTATGGCTACATGCTATATAAGCTTTAAGCTTTCAACATAAAATTAGATCACAATATGCAATTCTCCCTCGGATTTTAATCTTCATTTTATATCGCATCATATCATTGCATGTCATTGTTGCTTGTGTTTTGTTATAATTATTGCTTTATTTTGATGTTCCTATTTTACGATGGATTTTTCCGAAATAAGCAGCTCGGTTTCGGTTCGATCCATCGAACACTCTTAACCACTCTTGATTAAAATGATATGTTTCCATAGTAGAAATAATATGTATTATTAGTAAGATTATACATGATTGCTACAAACACACTTATTGTGAATTATGCAACGAACGTTAATCTTTTAGTTACAATTGATGACTTGTATTCTCAAAAAAAAAAAATTGATGACTTGATTGTAACAATTATTAAATTGAGTGACCTTATTATTATAAATTTATAAATAAGATGATCGGATTGTAAAAATCCTTTTACGTGTGTGAAAGGGATCATGGTTCTGAAATTCATATTTGATAAAAAAAAATAAAAACATAATTATATGTCTATTGTTGTCTTTTTTATCAATTTTTTTAAACTTTGAATAATTATCATTAAAAATTTATTATTGATAAAAATATGTAAAAATATGTTTCAAAAACCTTGAATTTTCAAATATTTTGAAATACATATTTTTAAAACTTAATTTCGATATGGGTGATTTAAATAAAAAATGTTTTCCTTTTTCAATTTTTTTAACTATATTAATGATTGGGCCAAACTCTTGTATTATAAAAAATTATTAATTGAATTTCTACTTGAATTGGTATTATTAGAAAAGTTAATTGATGTTAAATTTAAAATATTATTTTTAAATTAATATTACGTAATTGTGTTTTTATTTTCTTTATTTTTATAACAAT